CCCCCGCACCCATCCCCTGTCCGGACTTAACAAACTCCCATCAACTCGCAACCAGCTGATTACTATCAACCCCACGCCCACTCCCCTATCCCCATGACTAATTTGCGTTTTGTGATAGCATAATTAACAGCATGCTGCTTTTTGCTCCCTCCCTATATGAATGTAACAGCCCGAAGAGAATTCATTGAAAACTACGTATGCTCGCCAAATACTCTTCTGAATTCTCTGATGGGAATTTTCGCAACTTCATTTCATTATTGCTTTATTGTTCGAATATGAACACAATAACAATTATTCTTGGAAGTTCGCACGTTTCTATCGACTAAAGTTCGTACTCGGATGGTAACTACACCGAGTTGGCTTTGGTACCATTTTTCCATTTAACTTACATCCTCTAATTGACGTTCTTTTATCGGTTTAGAATAAGGATGGTGACCAAACCCATGGTGACCGCGAAGCATCAAGATCTGGACGGAAGAACTCCGCAAAAACCTACTTTAACCAAATAAAGGACTTCTACTGTGCACCTCAAACCAGATTCGTCAACAACTTTGTAAGCCCACTTCATAAACCAGGAGAACGTCTTTCGAAAGAAATAGTAACCTCATTGGAAAATGTTACATGTTAAGTGTGCTTAGCCGGTGCTTTATAGTTGGGGGATTTAATAAGAAAGTAAATGCCGACCAGAGGAAGCAAATTGTCTGCCTGAAAAAAATACACCGGGTAAAAAATGACACTTTAAACTGATTTTCGAAGGTATTTCGAAATTATGTATCTTTTACAGACGTATTGCTAAAAAATGTCTTGCCTGTACTCATTTATTAGCGACTGATGGCTTGTTTGATTTGAGTACTCAAAAAATCTGGTAGCGTTTTTAGAATGCTGAGTTATAATGAGTACGAGCTGACGCTAGATTTTCGCTTCTGCATACTCCGTGCTTCCTGCGTAAGGAAAAACGCATTTTGTTATGCCATTGGGAAGATACTACGCAGCTCCTCTGAAGTTTTTTATGGTAGTTGACTATATTGTTGATAAAAATGGACGTATGCGAGGCTAGTTCAGCAGACATTTCATGGGTTTAAAAATATTAATTTGTTTACATATATAAATAAAGTAGAAGCTCTTTGAGAAGCGATGTCCATTTTCCAGTTGCTATAGTTAATTATAACAACATGATATCATTATATCTACATATATAATGGGAAAATATATTACCTACAAAAACAGGGACGACTCGTATGGCTATTTCTAGCTTAGTAGCCGTCCTTAGCCAGCCATAAACAACATACGGGTTAGCGACCCCAAATGCCCGAACCCGCGAACCTCTTGGCTTGAAGTGCATTGCTATAACCACCGTTGCCTTGCCCATTTCGATCGGCCATATAACCATTGCTGCATGTCTCACATTATAAGTTATGATATTATTCAAACAAAAGTTGTCTTTTCTTTTTACTTTTAGATTCTCTCTGTGCTTCTCATTATCGCATTTTCGTTAGCTATCTTACTTTGGAGGTCGTATTCATACTCTCGAATTCCCTACATAGTTAGTTATGGCCTCTTCTTTGGAATTCTGCTTGAGAACATTAGATCGGTAGGTTCGAAGTATGATCCGAAATATTTCGTCGTTTCTCCTTTTAGTTTTTTTTATAAAACACTTTGCAGTAGTAGTATAGAAAGCAATGGTATGTGTGGTCTGTACTTTGTTGATTTCTTTGCATCGAGCAAAACAAGAAAGCTTTGTGGGAACTCTCAAAAACTTTACAAAACAAAAACTCTAAAAAGCTTTACGTTGCTTGGGTGTTCCTATATATTAATTTTTCCTTCCTCAACCGTTTAGGGGACGAGCACTCTACTCCCTACTTTCACTAACATATATTTCGTTCAAATTTATATTATTGCCTACTTTGTCATAACATATTTCTTTAATGTTAAGCACTGCACCGTTTTTAATAGGTTTTTCGAACACAATGCCTACTACCCTCCGTATACGGCACTATACTGAAATGAACTGTTCACTCCATTATAAGTCAACACTGCCTGAGCTCATCTTCTCCCGACTAGGGTGGCTTTTTGAAAACCAGAAATCGCTTATTTCATTTTATTGACTGGAATTTATTCGATTGGTGATGATGAGCTACTGAACGTTAGCATTGGCGACGTAGTCCTGACACGGACAAGCAGCGTATTTATACCCTGCCTGTGGTCACCCAATCAGTTTATGCAGGTGTGGAAAGATCTTTTGACCTTCGTTACTTGGTTTCGGTCAATGTCTAAGAGAATAGTTCAAGGTGTCTTGTTCCGCTGCCGCAGATCATGTCACATGTAGGAGTAGTATGCGTGACACCAACAGGGCCAACTATATCAGGTCTTTTTAAGCCGATGTTTGCTCCAGAGGACACCATCCAAAACACTACCGAGGCTGTAGCATGCACTAGCATAATTTAAGTACTTCCAATGGGCTGTCGAATGCATTGTTAGACTAGATGTTGGAATTGCACACCGCCCTAAATCTACATGCTCTGCGACGTCATGAAATTAAAAATGCGAAATACGTTTAACTCGAAGTTCAGGCGAGCTCCGTTCATAACTCTGCAACAGTCTAAAACAGTAGCTATGCAGTAATTCGAACCGGCTTGACCGAGAAAACACGTAATAGTCGGTTGACTACCTGTTCTTCCCAGATTACTAGGTAATGGGACGCACCGCAAACTAGTCCTAGAGTTGAGCATACGGCGAAACAACGAAGAACAGAATCTTGTAACCTAATGAGAGGAGATAAAGAAGAAAGGTCGTTGACGGAGAGTGTTCCTTTAGGTGTCTGACGTTTTGGATAGTCATGTCGTTTATCCAACCGCAGGGATTGAACATTTAGGCTCTTTTTCGTGTGCGTACCCTGTCAAAATCGGCTGTGCCGTTGTGCCTGGTGCGAGTCCCAATGTCACTTCCGTCAGCATAGTCGTCACCCTCATTGACCGTTTATGGTCTTGCGTCGACCCCATCTCATTTTTGTTCGTTTCGACTTCGCTCCCTTTGCCCGTGGAGATATTAAGCGCTCCCGGTTGTTGTATACAATAGTCGCCAGCTCCGTCGACTGCTTCTTGTGTCGCTTTGACCGACGTGTCACTATGATTTGTGTCACCCTTGTAGGCGTTGGCCACAGCGACACCCGAAAAACTACCCTGAAGTTGATGCTCATCTGCTACATGAGACATAAGCCGTTTTTACGCCGTCGAATACTCTTACCGTTGAGGATTTAAATGCGCCTACCATTGACTGAAATTTCCTCTTTTCCTACGGCTTCGGAACAACATTCAGCCAGCAGATTCTGCATATAACTCTGCTTATAGCCCAACACGTCACTTTTCTGGCAAGCGTTCCTGAGAGCCGGCAGATAAACTGCCTGCGCCTTGTGCTCACCAAACTACTTAACAACCTCTACAATGTGAACCGCTTCAGCCCATCAAGACAGAATGACCATGTACTTTTCACGTGAGAATAGAGCTTTTTCTCTTTGCCGTTCTAACCACAAGATCTCCGACCAAATATTTGGCGTGGTAACTTCGGGCGGATCAACAATGATCTTTGTCCTATTGACTGTGCATTCATATTTTCCGACGATATCGTCAAGGCTCGGGAACAGCAATGCAAAGAGATAGTCTGCAATTTCATTTTTACCCATTGCCCAGTCATTCACAGAAGGCTAGCGAAGAGGCCTCGCTGGTTGACTCTATCAGTAAAGAAGGCGTTTAACATGCAGAGACAACCGTATAAAAGATTCGTTATTGATAGGATGCTGGACTTTTTCAAGGGTTACAATAAACGGAGAAAGGAGGGCCAAAGTTTAAACACCAGAAATCGACGAATCTTCAAAAAACGTGTTGAACCCTGTCGTGGTTAATCCCAAAGGCAGAACACACGGAACGAAAACAGAAATATGGCTGAACATTTCCGTCAGTTTTCTGATCGGTCGTGACGACAGAATCCAGCTTTTTCTCCCCTACTTATGGTGACCAAGTAGTGCCTATTGAAACAGCCCGCTCTACCGGCGACGTAGTTCAGGAAGAAATGCTAAAGGGAAATAATCAATCTGCCCAGGCCTCGATGCAATCCTAGCCAAACCGTTGAAGGCGCCAGCTTCTCAAATGGCCAAACCGCAAGCCTTAGTATTTTAGGCCTCATTTGCTACTGGGTGTCTACACGCTAGTTGAAGGCCCGCAACCATCACTCCACTACTGAAGCGTGGATGCCGAGTGCCTGCGACTAATTATAGACCAGTGATACTTACCTAAATTCGTTGCAACACCAAAGTAACCGTTGCAGTGGTCGGCCCTGTTTTACGAATTTGTTAGTTTAACTTGAACGCTGGACCACAAAACGTAACGGAGGCAAAATTCTGCAACCATTAACCTCCTATTAATCTTCCGTATTATGAATGGCCTGGACTGTTGCTTTGTTCCCGCTCATTATATCACTCTTGCAAGGCAAGCGTCGATGAACGCACATTTTTCTCTGTAACAGAGTGGAACGCTCTGTCCGACGATGTGGTTCTCTCCACCTGTGTGCAGTCATTTAGGGGCAAAATAAACAAACATCAAGCTAAACACTAACCTGCAAACCACTTATGTGTCTTATACAATCCATTTTAAAAAGGCTGTTCGTTGAAGTTTTCGCTTTACGACTAGCCGTTGGCTGCTGCTTTTTCGTCTACAAATATGTAAACAACCTCTTTTTCGAATTTTTAATATGTATCGAAGCTTTTGGTTATCTACATCAATTACGCTTGTCTATCTTTTACCTTTATTAAACTGAATTGAAGAGATAGTTTAGACGTAGTTTATCAGATCCCGTGCATAAAGTGTTCTTGCAATAACGCAGGTGAGACTGCAAGCACGTTCGACTAGTGCATACACAAACACAAGATAGCCGTGTAAATGGATAACTAAGTATCGCAAGCGGCTTCCCAGATCTCCGCACCGGGCAACATATTTAGTTTCGCGGCCTCAAAGTTAATCACCCTCCTCTTTATGTTGGAGTGTTTTTGATTATATTTGACAATTTTAAAGCCCTCTTCTAAGCTTGCAAATTTACTAAAGAGTGACTGAAACAGTTTATCTTCCGTGTATTCCGTATTAGTGTAACCTATATTGTACGAGAGAGTATCTTGCCACATGTTTCAAAATAAACATAGCTTTTACCTCCGATAACCGTCGCCCGTTCTGATACTGTTTTTATCACTGCTGATAGACACATACACGAATTCGAAGTTTACAAAATTTAAATAAAATGCGTGACAGTTACACCTTTATTTCCCCCATCCAGGGTATCGTAAGAGGAGGTGGCTTCAAACAGTACCTTGCCAGCAGTTGGAACCTCGTATTCTTCGCCTGTATATGCCTTTTCATCCTTGGCAACCTCTCCTCCATGCCCCGTATTAAGGATTATCCCAGTTTGATCTGGCTGACGAGGCTTTTCTTGGCAATTCATCTGCTGGTTGGTTTCGCCTTCCTTTTCCGTTTCTTCGTCGCCAGTCGGTCCATCGGTCCAAAACTGTTGATGATTCACAAAATGGTAAGTTTTGCGGGGCTCGGAAAAAGATTTACTCCAAGTTTAACCAGAAGGCGAAAGCTGCATTAGTAGAGAGCTTGGTATTGCAACTTCAAATCACTCTCACAAATCCCATCGTCTGTAACTACTGGCTATGTGGCCCCATTCAGAGGACTCGTGTAGCACGGCTATCGTGGTAACTGATCGGTGGGGTGAACGGCAATGAAAGAAGGTCGTTTCCTGGAAGTCAGAGGTAAACCCTTATAATTCTCCCAATGCACCAATAAAGTTGCGAAAATGCTCATCAGAGAAATCAGAAGAGTAATGTGTGAGCGTAAGTAGGCTTTCAATAAATTCTCGTTGGGCCTGTGGAGCAGGTTATATTGGTCACATTGGTTGGCGATTATCCAAAATAATAAAGGAAAACTTCCCGGTATGGCTGAGAATAGATGAAATCAGGAGCATAAAGGACTATATTCTGGCGCATATGGTTGATTCCGGACATCGTGTGGACCCCAACGAAGTCTTCCGGTGATCTATAAGGTCTCACCAAAATGCCTAAATTCTCTGGGTCAGCGCCTGTTAGCAACAGCAGAAGCAGCCGCTACCAGGTTGGTGAAGCCAGCATTTTGTGCACAAAAGAACCTCCTATAAGGTTCGCCTCTGGCGTGGGCCAGAGTCACTTAGCGGCATACACTAGGCTGCGCTCTATTTGTTTTCCCCTGTCCCACCTCTCCCAGACTGGCTACATCAAACCCTGTCATCTCAGCCAGCCTTCTCTCTGATCGATCTCTCTCCCCTAATTCCACGACTCACTCTTCAGAAAAGACAAACACGTTTTAACTTGTACCCCGTTCCCATATAAATGCACTGCCCCAAACAGAATGTATCGAACTCCTATGTTCGCTCGCCATTTACTCTTCTGAACAATAATAAAGCTTCAAAAGGCGAGCCTGTTATTTGAAATACTGGCCATTTTGAGCCTAAAGCTGACTGAAAAAATGCAAATTGAAGGTATTAGTTAAATATTCCAGGTAACCTGGAGCAATGCACGTAAAGATACTGAAGTCTTAAATGTGAAAAGTATATCGTTAAGTCGGATTCTCCTGATGCTCATCACCTCTTTTTTCTCCATTGAGATTTTTATTAACTGAAGATAAAATTGCTCATGTTGCTAAAGGTGAGTATCGTTATTCCATTGCTAGGTACTCGGTGACCTCCTCCCCTTTCTGGCTATCATCATCATCTTCTGGCTTTCATTCACTGTTTTTCTGGTCGCCATAATCTATAAGCCAAATCCAGACGACCCTTATCGATCTCAAGTGAAAGAATTCTTTGTTGGCATGAGGAATTCTTTCTTTGCGATGTTTGGTGAATTCAACATAGACGATAACATCGACGCCCTAGGTAAGTACGCAAAAAGCGAATTTTATCTACAACCAATTGACTTAATCGATATTAAACCTTATCTTGAATAACCTTTGAAGTCAATTCCTATTATCATGGTCTGACAATATGGCATAGCAACCACAAAATAGGGCAGAGATTGTTGCCGTGTCTATACCCAAAATTTTTTCCTAAATTACAGACAAGTTGGAAGAGGAATGCTCTGCCACGGATGGTTGTATCTATCCTTTCTACGACTGGTCGTATCCCCTTGTATATGCCGTTTATGTGCTCTGTACACATGTGATCCTTATAAACCTGCTCATCGCTATGTTTACGTAAGTTGCGTTTTAAATTGACTAGTCACATCTTACACCCCCCAGGCATCCTACCTTTCCTTTTCTAATTTTACTACCTACTCATCTCGTTGGAGGAGGAAAAGAAAGAGAATAAGAAAGAAGAAAAATCGACAATTCCTTTAAATTTGAGATGACCCATTGATTCTAAACGTAGCTCCGCTTTTGCTCGAAACATCTGTCTAGTTTGGCTTTAATGGAAACCATCGATATATCCTGGTGTCAAGAAGTCCAAAAACGTCGTCAGTGAGCTAACAATACAATGGTACCTCTGGTAGAAAAGGAGATGACACGTTCATTTTGAAGCAGACAACATATTCGGTCAGAACGTGCCAACCGTTATGACCTAGTATTTAATTGTTACGGTAGGCGTTTCACACAGGAGGTTATTTTGTTTGAGGGTTGTTTGGCCTGAACGAACTGAACAGAAAGGCTGTTTTATGTATTACCGACGAAGACAGAGGGACATCCACGAAGGCCTTTTCTGACTTATTTGCCGTCATCAGGTGGTGATACCCAACTCCAGTGTAGTCTGAATCATTTGCTCAAATGAGCGTTTTCTGTTTTCTTTAGACGATTTCCCTTTTTGAAAGAAACGCCTAACGAATATGAAGCTAACCGCGTAGTATTTTTGTATTAAATTATTATAGCCAGAGAACCCAACCCTTTGATGGTGTTTAGTATTTAAAAGTGATCATGCGATTGCTTTATCAGTTCCTTTTCGTCGAACTGTTACCGCTTGAGACCGTAGCAGGCTATCTAAGATAAAATATTACTGCTTCTTGACTTACTACCTTATCTCAATAAAAATAATTTTCTTAATCATGTGTCAGGAGGCGAGAAAAAATGGGACACTACATTAAGCCGGCTAATGAATTCCGATAAAATCTACAGTATTTTAGATTTCGGTCATTTGAATTATTTTTAATGCACTACTGAATTCATGTTGACTACACATGCACATACTCAAAGTATTTTCCCTAATGACCTGTAAATAATCAACACTGGTTTTGAAATAACCTCTGCCACCAGCTGATAGACGCAGATATAGGTTAGGAACATTTTTGTTGCTGCTCAGCGTAAGTACGAGGGGTCTTAACTTTTAACCAGGTCTAGTAAGCGTGTTAATTAGAGGACACAACAACTAAACGCCAGAACAAGCATTGGAAACCTCGTTTGCAAAAACTCAAATTTACTTTGGGGACATGATCATTGTGGGACGGACGCATGCAGTGCAGTTTGATGACAGTAACTAGGATGATTTGTCGAACTTAAGTGTTGACATAAGGGACGGTAAGGGGTCGTCCTGGCTTCCCCCAGGGCTGCCATCAGCGGCAGTAGTGGCCACTTCTTGCTTGTGTGTAGTCATAAGAATTGTTTAATCATGAGCCGCGCATCTGCAGTGTAAACATGAGTCGACTGAGCAGCCTTCAGTATGGACTTAAACCCTAGGACCACGATCAGTCCATCATCATAGTCACATAAAAATGGCACTATCCTACCAAAATAGACTGTCCACCCCAGTATATTTCCACTTACCTACAGACAACTACGGTGGGAAGTAAAATTAAACTTCAGCAGTCTTCCCGATGACTTATTCACTCAGGCTAACACGTCTTATATGCGGGATCACTCTCTAAAATACACCCAAGCAAAGCATGAATGTATGGAAGCACGTTTTTTAGTAACAGAATGGTTAGAGCATGGAGCGATCTGCCGGAAATGTTGCCTTCTACATTTGTTTAAAAACATTTACGAGCAAACCGGACATTTATCAAGTTTCGCAATAACAAAACAGACAAAACATAGTACTTCCAAAAAGTTAGTAGTCGGGCATTGTTTATTCTAGAAGTGAATATGTGAGTTCCGGGAAGCAGTTCAGAAGAAGAAGATGCCATCACTAGAACAAGAGTTTTATTTTCCTGACGTTTTGGAGTCTGTCGAGAATCCTTAATCATAGGTCATGGTAGGATAGTCTGAGCCATGCGCAGCTAGGGGTGAAACAGGCACAGATATCACGGTTACTTGATACTTCGCGTTCGACTCAGTAATTGCCGCGATTCCCTTATCCGTGTCGGATGCGGGCTTGGTAATTGGTAATTCGCAATAAATGAGTCGAACACGAAGTATCAAGCTATAACCGCACCAATTAAGATCCCAAGCGATGGCTACAGGAGAGAATAATTATAGTGCGCATACGGATGACCGCTACCAACTATAAATACCGTGATATCTGTGCATGTTTCACTCCTAGCTGCGCATAGCTCAGATTATCCTACCATTATCTATGATTAAGGATTCTCGACAGAATCCAAAACGTCAGAAAAATAAAACTCTTCCTCCAGTGATCGCAGAAGGGAGCTAATGTTACTACTATTGCTATCTACAGTAGCTGCATTCTTTTTATTTTTAAGGAAGAGGTATAGTCAAATGGAGAGCGAATCGAAACAACTATGGGCAATGCAACAATTTGGCCTTGTTCAGACCTTTACGAATGCTCCACCTCTACCGCCAACCGCAATGTTAATCTGGCCTCTGGTCTGCATATACCAGATTCTGACGGTGTGCTGCAAACGCGCGAAAAAGAAAGCATCAAACCCTTTCTGTAAGTTTGGCTGAGGACTGAAAATACGTTCCAGTGCGGTCATCACATTTGCCCTCGCCTCCCGCTCCACTGTTATACTTTAAGTTAACAAGAAATTACAGGGCAGATAAAAAATTAACAATCGTAAGCCCATGATGATTTTAGCTCATCGCGGTTGTGTCGTACAGCAGCGAATTATTGGTGAAGCGCGTGTCTGGGCTTTTAGTCAGTACCTGTGCAATTGATTACTCAGCTCGTTTCCTGGCCAGGACAGAAGGACTTGAGAAGAAGAATTGGACGCAATCGCTGCAACAATAACCTATATGCACCTGACGCTTCGGATTCCAGCTGGAACCCACGTTCAGTCACAGCATCAGACAGGTGTTCTTCGTAAAAAGGGAGTTACAGTTTTTATAGGATGCAATGGCTGAGCTACTGCACACCTAGAACAGTAAACGGCTCCCCGTTTATCGGTGATGATTGCCCC